CATCTCAGCCCCAAATCTCCTTAAGCTGATAAGCAACTTCAGCAAAGTCTCAGGATACAAAATCAATGTGCAAAAATCATAAGCATTCCTATACACCAATAACAGACAAACAGAGAGCCAAATCATGAGTGAACTCCCATTCACAACTACTTCAAAGAAAGTAAAATACCTAGGAATCCAACTTACAAGGGATGTGAAGGACCTCTTCAAGGAGAACTACAAACCACTGCTCAACGAAATAAGAGGGCACAAGCAAATGGAAGAATATTCCATGCTCATGGATAAGAAGAATCAATATTGTGAAAATGGCCATACTGCCCAAGGTAATTTATGGATTCAATGTCATCCCGATCAAGCTACCAATGACTTTCTTCACAGAATGGCAAAAAACTACTGTAAAGTTCATATGGAATCAAAAAAGAGCCCACATTGCCAAGACAATCTTAAGCCAAAAGAACAAAGCTGGAGGCATCACGCTACCTGACATCAAACTATACTACAAGGTACGGTAACCAAAACAGCATGGTACTGATACCAAAACAGAGATATAGACCAATGGAACAGAATAGAGCCCTCAGAAATAATACCACACATCTACAACCATCTGATCTTTGACAAACCTGACAAAAACAAGAAATGGGGAAAGGATTACCTATTTAATAAATGGTGCTGGGAAAAGTGGCTAGTCATATGTAGAAAACTGAAACTGGATCCCTTCTTCACACCTTATACAAAAATTAATTCAAGATGGATTAAAGACTTAAATGTCAGACCTAAAACCATAAAAACCCTAGAAGAAAACCTAGGCAATACCGTTCAGGCCACAGGCATGGGCAAGGACTTCATGTCTAAAACACCAAAAGCAACGGCAACAAAAGCCAAAATTGAAAAATGGGATCTAATTAAACTAAAGACCTTCTGCAAAGCACAAGAAACTACCATCAGAATGAACAGGCAACCTACAGAATGGGAGAAAATTTTTGCAATCTACCCATCTGACAAAGGGCTAATATCCAGAAGCTATAAAGAACTTAAACAAATTTACAAGAAAAAAATCAAACAACCCCATCAAAAAGTGGGCAAAGGATATGAACAGACACTTCTCAAAAGAAGACATTTATGCAGCCAACAGGCACATGGCACATGAAAAAATGCTCATCAACACTGGCCATCAGAGAAATGCAAACCAAAACCATAATGAGAGACTATCTCATACTGGTTAGAATGGTAATCATTAAAAAGTCAGGAAACAACAGGTGCTGGAGAGGATGTGGAGAAATATGAACACTTTTATCCTGTTGGTGGGACTGTAAACTAGTTCAACCATTGTGGAAGACAGTGTGGCCATTCCTCAAGAATCTAGAACTAGAAATGCCATTTGACTCAGCCATCCCATTATTGGGTATATACCCAAAGGATTATAAATCATGCTGCTATAAAGACACATGCACAGGTATGTTTATTGTGGCACTATTCACAATAGCAAAACTTGGAACCAACCCAAATGTCCATCAATGATAGACTGGATTAAGAAAATGTGGCACATATACACCATGGAATACTATGCAGCCGTAAGAAAGGATGAGTTTATGTCCTTTGTAGACACATGGATGAAGCTGGAAACCATCATTCTGAGCAAACTATCGCAAGGACAGAAAACCAAACACCACATGTTCTCACTCATAGGTGGGAACTGAACAATGAGAACACTTGGATACAGGGTGGGGAACACCACACACCAGGGCCAGTCGTGCGGTGGGGGTAGGAGGAAGGATAGCATTAGGAGATACACCTAATGTAAATGAGGAGTTAATGGGTGCAGCACACCAACATGGCAGATGTATACATATGTAACAAACCTGCACGTTGTGCACATGTACCCTAGAACTTAAAGTATAATAAATAAAAAAAATTAATAATAATAAAAAGAAGAAAGAAAAGAAGTTTAATTGGCTCACATTCTGCAAGCATGGCTGGGGAGGCCTCAGGAATATTACAATCATGGCAGAAGGTAAAGAGGAAGGAGGCCTGTCTTGCATAGCTGGAGCAAAATAAAGAGAGAGAAGGGGGAGGTGCTACAATCTGATCTTTTGAGAACTCACTCACTATCATGAAAACAGAAAGGGGGAGAATCTGCCCCCATCATTCCATCACTTCCCACCAGGCCCCTTCTCCAACAATGGAGATTACAATTTGACATGAATTTGGGCAGGGACACAAATCCAAACTGTATCAGACACTAAGGCAACTCAATGGGGAAAGGAAAGTATTTTTAAAGACTGATGCCGGGTCAACTGAATATCCATAAGACAAAAATGACCCATGACTCTTACACTTCACTTCCTACACAAAAATTATTCAAAATGGATCATAGAATCATAAAAGCTAAAATTTTAAGGCTTCTAAAAAAATAGAATATCTTCATGATGTCGGAATAGGCAACAATTTTATAGACAGGACACAAAAATCTGTAACCATAAAAGTAAAAAAAAGATCATTGCCTTTCATCAAAATTTAAAGCTTCTCTATATCAAAATATATCATTAACAAAATGAAGAGGCAAACCATAGGCTGAGAGACAACATTTACAAAATGTATATCTGACAAAAAAAGTTGTATCCACAATATAAAAAGTACTCCTACATATCAAAAATAAAAATATAAGCACCTCCTACTTTTTCAAATGGGAAAAGACTTGAGCAGGCACTTTATGGAAGAAGATATTTGAATGGACCAATAAGCATATGAGAAAATGCCCAACATAAATAGTTATCAGGGAAACGAAAACCATAATGAAGTACCACTTCATGCCCACTGAAATGGCCAAAATTAAAAGACTGGCAAAACTAATTGTTGTGAAGGATGTAGAGCAACTAGAATTCCAATTTATTTAAGATGCTAGAATAAAATGGTACAACTACTTTGGAAAATAGTTTTGGCAAGTTCCTATAAAGTTAAACCTGTACCTGTCCTAGAGCCCAGTAATAGCACTAGAGCTATAATAGCTACAGTGAAGAATGAAAAGGATATTCAGAGATGGGATTTTGGCAAAATAAGGATTTTCAGTTTCTGCATGTTTAGCATTCTGTTATTTCCAGTTAATTATAATTTTTGTTCTAAGAACCCTTTGATAAGACTGTCTAGCCTGTGGGAAGATTGTCTAGCTAAAGGACAGCAAGACTGTCAGTCTGTTTGCATACATTTCCAGAAAGCTGGGAGAGGAGGATTATGCCCAGAAAGACAAAAAGATCACCTAATTATGGAGGCACACCTGGGGATTTGGATGTATCACCTGGACTACACATTCAGTCACCAAAGTGGTTTGGGCTGAGTTACCTCCTTCTCTTGAATGAAGTTCTCAAAGACAGTGCCGCAGGATTCATTTATTTTCTTCTCTTCTTCTCCTGACTCCAATTCGAATTTTTTGGTCATCTTCTTTTTTTCTGTGGAAGTGACAGGAAAGCACATATATGTATAAACATGGGAAAAGCAGGTGCAATGAGAAACCCAGAATATCTAAAGAGAAAAGCAATTCCAGACTCAAGGTCATTGCAGCCTGTTGTTCAGCCTCTGACACTCACCTGGAGGTGCTTGAGGGTGAGGTGAGCATGGTGGTTGTCCTCAATCACATTAGTCATATGGGATTTACCACCAACATCTCTGGTTCTTTTGTGTGTAGTTTATTTTGAATCTGTTGCTTTTTATTTTGTCCATTCCCTCTGCTGACGTAACCACTATGCTATCATGGATATCCTTATCTTAAAGTAAAGTTCTTGGCTAACATTACTTTGCCAGCAATAAAATTCATCCTGTACTTAGTGCTGGGGTAGAGGTAGGCTTCAACTTAGTGTTCAGACACTAAGGCAACTCAATGGGGAAAGGAAAGTATTTTTAAAGAATGATGCCGGGACAACTGCAAGGAAACCTGCCATTAGAGCCCCAGTATCAAACAGGAGGAAGGTGGGGCGAAGGGAAACAGATTTCTTCAGTGTTGCAATTCTGGGGAAGGACAGGGAGTGTCTGGTCTGACAGGGTAAGCCTCTGACTGAGCTGGATGGTGAGCAGCTAAATTCTGGTCTTCCAAAACTGGTGGTTACATCTTTACTTAGACTTTGGCAACATGGGATGAGAGTCGTTATGAGTAGCTAGAATCTGGGATATGACTTGGGTTCTATTGCACTAAAATTCTAGGTAAAGCCCCAAACAGAAGCAGCTCCCCATCCCGTTCCCCAGCCTTACTCCAGGGTCTTCATATTACTTTCTGGCAGTCCAGAGTGCCTACCAGAATGTGAATTAATTTTCCCATGTAGTATCTGCATTTAAATGAGTAATTTGTTAAAATCAACTAAATCTGAAATGAATGTGGTTGGCGTGGAATGCAGAATAGGTCTGTAGAGGTCCCACTCCTACCTCGACTAGTCTTCTAGGCCTGGAGTAGTCTCCACAAATTCTCTTCTTTTTTCCTTTTATGAACAAGTTCAATGGAGATCAGGGGTACACCTATAGAGTACTTTGTATGATGCAAGCTCTGTGTTGTTGGAAATATTAAAAATATTTACCAAGTGTGAATTCCTTCTGGAAGATGTGGGAATATAGAAGCTCTTAGTATAATGGATTGTGTTGTTCCTATCTGCCCCCCACCCACATGCGAGTGAACATTTCATATTCTAATTAAAGAACTCTTGGAATTTTGAGTTCATCTGTTTCTAGATAATAAGTCTGCGCTCCCTACAGGGATTCTAGCATTTGTTCCAGCCATCATGGGCAAACTTGGACCTAATGAGTTTCAGAAGGTATAGGCTTAGACTCTCTTAGATCAGATGCCTGAACTTCAAAAAAGCCCCTACCCTTGTTGTCATTTTGCTTTCATGAAAACTCTGGGCACCTTCCATTCAGGTATCTAGCATGTGGCCCATCATCCTTGGTAAGCCCAAGGCCACCTTCCTCAAGTCAAGACCAGACTTCACAGCAGTTTTTTAATGCATTTGTCATAAAAAAAAAAAAAAAAGCTAGAGTTTCTGTACTCACTTTGCTGTAGCAGGATATTTTCTCGCTCCAACTTCTCATCCTTCTTCCATTTTGCCTTCTGTTTTGACCACTTCTCTTCCATTTCATCATAAATACTGTCCTGGGGAGGTACAAAGGCATCATGAAGAAAAGAGTCCTAAAATGAAGGTGATCTGGAGAGGCTGTAAAACTCAACTCAGGGAGGACTTCTCCTGGCACTGCACAGTGGCCAGGGCCCAGCACCATGTTCTGTGTATCTTCCCTTACCTGGGGCCCTCACTGAGTGGGTCCTCCATGGGTGACTAGTGGGAAGTAAATTCCAGCCCAGCCCAACAGAGAGCTTGTGGAACCCAAAGGTCAAGGGCAAACTATGCACAGTGTTTTCCCCACTAGAACTGAGCTTCCTTTGAAGACAGGTAGAGTTCTCCATGTTGAAGAATCATATGTCCGTTCCCCCTGAATCACAAATCCCTCTTCAATAGCACAAGAAGAAAGGAGGCCGGGCGCGGTGGCTCACACCTGTAATCCTAGCACTTTGGAGGGCAGAGGCATGCAGATCACGAGGTCAAGAGGTCGAGACCATCCTGGCCAACATGGTGAAACCCCATCTCTACTAAAAATACAAAAATTAGCTGGACGTGGTGGCACGCACCTGTAGTCCCAACTACTTGGGAGGCTGAGGCAGAAGAATCGCTTGAACCTAGAAGGCAGAGGTTGCAGTGAGCCGAGATCATGCCACTGCACCAGCCTGTTGACAGAATGAGACTCTGTCTCAAAAAAAAAAAAAAAAAAAAGAAGAAGAAGAAAGGAAATGCCTAGTTAATTTGAACACTTACAAAATAAGGGGATGTTTTTCAGAGAATGTCTGCTTTTTTTTCAGCAAATCTAACTTTCTTTTGTGGTTGAGGTTAAATAAGCCTAATCCAATACCAATACTGTTGCTTGGCTCAGACTTCATGAACATGGAACCCTAGAAGGGGGAAGACCCTGGACCTGGATGCTGCTCGCAGGGTCCAAGGATGCTGACTGCCTTCTTTTTCAGCAGAAGGATTCACACCCGACCTATTCTATTTACCACTCACACATGTTAGGCTGTTCTCTATGATGTTTTCCCTGAATATACCAAGGAGTATCTTAAAAAATGAGTTTTAGACACAGGCTCAAAACTGAAACTGTAAGTGTTAAATAGAACTCCAGGTACTGGTGTTTAACTTTTGATAGAGTGACCAAGTGTCCTTGTCTGTCTGACACTTAGGGGTTTCCTGGGACTCTGGACTCTCAGTGCTAAAACCTGGAAAGTCTCAGGCAAACTAGAACTAGTTGGTCACTATACATCACAATTAAACAGGAAGAAGGCTTGAGGCTTCAGTCCTTTCCCACCCCGCTGGCCATTTCTTAACTCTTTTCATCTACCTAGTAAGAATCATGCCCTAACTTTATTTTCCTAGGCCTTCATCAAATGAGCTGATTAAATGGATGGGTTTTATTCTAAGATGATGTGAGCACTCCATGCTTTGCTTTTGGCAGTGCGGAGTGATACATTCTTTTTGGATGGCAATTTGGCCAAATATATTAAAGGGCTTAAAAATGTTCATTCCAAAACAAGAACAAACTAACCTCAAAGCTAGGTTAAAGAAATAACTAAAATCAGAACAGAACTGAATGGAATCAAGATTCAAAAATCCATACAAAGAACCAATGGAACAAAAAGTTGGATCTTTGAAAGGATGTACCAGACCAATAGCGTGCTAGCTACATTAACAAAGAAAAAAAGGATGATCCAAATAAGCACATTCAGAAAGAACAAACGTGACATTAAAACCAATCCCACAGAAATACAAAAGTTCCTCAGAGACCACCATGAACATCTGTATGCATACAAACAAGAAAATCTACAGGAAATGGATAAATTTCTGGAAATACAACCTCCAAAGATTGAATCAAGAAGCAACTGAAACCCCAAATAGACAATATTGAGTTTTGAAATTGAATCAGTAATAAAAAAACCTAACACACACACACACACAAAAACAAATTCTGGGACCAGAAAGATTCACAGCCAAAATCTACCAGAAGTTCAAAGAAGAGCTGGTACCAATTCTACTGAAACTATTCCAAAAAAATGAGGAAGAGGGACTCCTCCCTAACTTATTCTATGAAGCCAGCATTATCCTGATACCAAAACCTGGCAAAGACAAAAAAAGAAACTACAGGCCTACAGGCCAACATCCTTATGAAGATAGACTGAAAAAATGCTCAACAAAATACTTGCAAACTGAATCCAGCTACACATGAAAAAGTTAATTCATGGTCAGGCATGGTGGCTCATACCTGTGATCCCAGCACTATGGGAGGTTGAGTCAGGAGAATTGCTTGAGCCCAGGAGCTTGAGCAACATGATGAGACCCCATCTCTACAGAAAAAATAAAAAATAGCTGTATGTAGTAGTCCCAGCTCTTTAGGAGGCTGAGGTGTGAGGATCACTCCAGCCCAGGAGGTTGAGGCTTCAGTGAGCTGTGATTGTGCCACTGCCCTCCAACCCATGTGACAGAATAAGACACTGTCTCAAAAAAAAAAAAAAAAAAAGTTAATTCACCATGATCAAGTAGGCTTCATTCTCACAATGCAAGGTTGGTTCAACATATGTGGATCCATAAATGTGATTCACCACATAAACAGAGTTAGAAAGAAAACCCATATGATCATCTCAATAGACATGGAAAAAACCTTTGATAAAATCCAACATTCCTTCATGATAAAAACTCTCAGCAAATTAGGTTATCAAAGGAACATACTTCAAAATAATAAGAACCATCTATGACAAACCCACAGCCAACATCCTACTGAATGGGTAAAAGCTGGAAGCATTCCCCTTGAGAACTAGCACAAGACAAGGATGCCCACTCTCACCACTCCTATTCAATATAGCACTGGAAGTACTAGCAAGAGCCATTAGTCAAGAGAAAGAAATAAAAGGCATTCAAATAGGAAAAGAAGAAGTCAAATTTTTTTTCTGTTCACTGATAATATAATTCCATACCTAGAAAACTCTAAAGAATCTGTCAAAATGCTCCTGGAACTGATAACAAGTTCAGTAAAGTTTCAGGATACAAAATCAATGAACAAAAAATCAATAGCATTTCTATACACCAATAATGTCCAAGCTGAGAGTCAAATCAAGAATGTAATCCCATTCAAAATGGACACAAAAAGAATAAAATACCTAAAAATACAGCTAACCAAGGAGGTAAAAGGAGAACTACAAAATGCTGCTGAAAGAAATCAGAGACAACACAAACAAATGGAAAAACATTCCATGCTGATGGATTGGAAGAGTCAATATCATTAAGATGGCCACACTGCTTAAAGCAATTAAGAGATTAAATGCTTTTCCTGTCAAACTACCAGCATCATTTTTCACAAAATTAGAAAAAATTATTGTAAAATTCATATGGAACAAAAAAGAGCCTAAATAGCCAAAGCAATCCTAGGCAAAAAGAACAAAGCTGAAGGCATCTCATTACCTGACTTCAAACTATACTATTAATACAAGGCTACAGAGATGGTGGACGGGAGGCAGGACTAGATTGCAGCTCCCACTCGGATGGACAGAGCAGCATGTGGTCTTGCATCATGAACTTTTGCTCCAGAACTACTGCAGGAATAATTCAGGAAAGTCAAGAGAATCCACAGGCCCTCTGAAGGAAGTAGATTGCTCCTGCAGGACCCAGGAGATGCCCCAAATACTGTGAGTGTCCAAACTGTGGAAGTAGGAAAAGGGGATTGTTCACCTCCAAACACACAACCTTACTGGGGAACCTGAAGGTCTAGATCATGAGAGAAGGTTCTGACCTTTTCTGGAGCTGAGTCAATTTAGAGAACCAAGTGAAATACAGGGTTAGAGGAAGTAGTGGGAAAAGCCCTGTGGGCTCTCTGGGTTCCCAGGGAAGCCATTTCTGACTTGTCTCACAGGGTTACCTGGGGAGGACTGCCAGAGGAACTCGGAAAAGATCACAGGTAGAAGGAAAACTCCAGCTGAACTTTGTAACAATTCCAACTGAATAGGAAATCTCCTGGCCAGAACTTGGGGGAAGGCATGAATCTGGTGTGCAGACCCCACAGGCAGGAAAACACAAAAGCACTAGTTGCTTTTGCAGGTGGGAGGCTGGTAGCCTGGGGCAAGTTCTCGGCTCTGTTTGCCCATTGCCTGGAGACAGACTTGGTGCTACTGGGTTGGGGGCATGGTGCAAGTAAGATCAATCTTCTGGGTTTCATGAAAGCTGAGTGAAGTCTGTGACTCCCAGTTTTCCCCCACTTCCCTGACAACCTGCATGACACAGCAGAGGTAGCCATAATCCTCCTGGGAACATAATTCCATTTACCTGGGAACCACACCTCCATCCCCCATAGCAGCTGCAGCAAGACCCGCCCAAGGAGAGTCTGAGCTCAGACATGCCTAGCCCTGTCCCGACCTGATGGTCCTTTCCTACCCACCCTGGTAGCTGAAGACAAAGGGCATATACTCTTGGGAGTTCTAGGGCCCCACCAACTACCTGATCCTCCCCATACTACTTCAGCTGGTGCTCTCTTGAAAGTGCCACCTCCTGGCAGGAGGCCAACCAGCACAAAAGCAGTGCATTAAATGACCAAAACTAAGCAACCTCACAGAGTCCATCTCACTCCCCTGCTACCCCTACCAGAGCAGGTGCTGGTATCCACAGCTGAGAGACCCACAGATGGTTCACATCACAGGACTCTGTGCAGACAACCCCCAGTACCAGCCTGGAACCTAGTAGGCCTGCTGGGTGTCTAGATCCTAAAAAGAGATAACAATCACTACAGCTTGAGGTCTCAGGAAGCCACATCCCTAGGAAAAGGGGTAGAGTACTACATCAAGAGAACACCTCATAGGACAAAAGAATTTGAACAACAGCCTTGAGGCCTAGACCTTCCCTCTGACAGAACTTACCCAAATGAGAAGGAACCAGAAAACCAACTCTGGTAATATGACAAAACAAGGTTCTTTAACATCCGCCACAAAATCACATTAGCTCACCAGCAGTGGATCTAAACCAAGAAGAAACCCCTGATCTACCTGAAAAAGAATTCAGAAGGTCAGGT